GCATCATACACATCTGTGTTGTAGCAGCATCATACACATCTGTGTTGCTCACACATGCTGTACACTAGAAAGAGGAACTGCTGATGGTGACCTTGGCGCAGTGCAGAGCTCTTTGAGGCAGGGGAAGGAGTGCACAGTCTTGCGTCGCTCCGTCTTCTCTCTGCGGACCCTCAGCTCCTCCAGAGTCCGCAGCTCCTCCACCCGAGCCGTCAGGCTGTCCACCTGACCCTGCAAGGTCTCCATGGTGCCCGTCAACCTGGGCACACACACACACAAACGTTTGTTCAGAGCTTGTTACGTCATTGCTGAGCACACCGTTCTCCTAAAGCTACAGTGAGCCACTGTTGCACCATAAAGAATGTGAAGGAGCATATTGAGAGAGAACAGAGGCAGCCATTGAAATCTTTAGCATTAGGACCACTAATGTGATTTGTAAAGAACTTCGACCCCTGATTATGATTATGGCGACGCTGAGGATAGCAAAAATGTTAAGTCCTCTAGTTTCCCTTTGTAAACACACAATTGTCGTAATTTCAGCAGAAATGTGGAGCGATGTGAAGTTCTTAGCATTGTGATGTATCGGTGTACCAGCCTCGAGCTGGTTTACGCTGGTTTGGTTTAAAGACCTTTGTTACGTGATGGCGGTGAGGGTGACCTGTGACTTTATTCTTGTTGCAGACACATTCTCATCACCTGTCGATTTTCTGATGCGAGGTCTTGCTCTCCAGCACCAGCTTCTCATTGGTGATCTCCAGCTCCCTGGCCGTCACATCCAGCTGTTCATACACCTTTGCGTGCTGCTCGTTCATCTCCCTCAACATTTCCAACTGCTTGGACAGGTACTGCGAGGGAGACACGGTTAAGATTAAAGTTAGTTGATTAGTGACGAGATACATCAGGGATGCTTGTACCCCAGGAGGTAAAGTAGTATGCCAGTCATCTGTAACACCGTATGCATGGGGTACTATGGCGTTAAAGACACAACTTTACTATGCAATGACCTTTTTATGACCCATCACTTTATTAATTAGTTTTATTTTTATGACATGATTTATTGCATACTATACAATTGCATTTTGGATATACCAAGCCTTTTTGACATATTTGACACTTTTTGTGATTTCAACCTTTCAACACATGATTTTTTTACTTTTTTCTAAATACTATACATTAAAAAATAAAAAAATGTCGACATCCAATAACTTACTTTTTCCACACGCTATACTATGATGTTTTTTGACAAGCTTTACTATATAGCATGTCGAAAGTCAAAAAAGTCATAGTATAGTATGTCGAAAAAAGTCAAACAGTATGAAAATGTTCTTGCATGAGGCCAAATTACTTTTCCATAATATTTAAATATAACACTTTCTCATGACATTTTATGGCATATCATACATGACTTTTTTATTACATACTATAGTTAAATTTGTTAAGGTATATTTTTTAAATACTACACTGATATTTTTTAGAGTAATATGGAATACTATAATATAACTTTTTCACGTCATACTATACTGGGACTATGTCAAATTATTCTCTGATATGTTTACATTTATTGGCATACAATAATATTACTTTTTTATTTTACATTTATTATAACAAACAATACTATAACTCTATTATGACATTTTATAACAGGCTATACTAGGACATTTTTATGGCATACTATACATATACACATATAGGACAGTCACACCTCAGATGGCTTGTGACTAATGAGAAGTCTCGTCTTTGAGCTGTGAAGACGAGAGAGATCCAGGAATTTCGCATTATCCTCTCACGTCTACAAAATAAACACTTTTTGTCTTAATTGCTATTTTTCATTCTTCTTGCCGTGCTTCAAGCGTTTCAATAATTAGCTGAAACACGCGCTCGCAGAGTTGCGATACGTGGGACGAGCGTACCTCTATCTCTTGCACTTGCTCGTCATTGTTGATGTACATCTGCTGCAGGGAGTCCTCCAGCTCCTTGTTGCGCTCCAGAAGGGTCTTGCCGAGCTCGGCTGCCAAGTGCAGGTCTGACGGGAACCAGAGAAAGAAGAACGGACGTAAACACCGGACAGTGGCGAGTCTGCCGAGCACAGGAGTTCACCGCACAGTGGCCGAGACTGCTTCTTGTCCCCAGGATCGATTTTAACAAGTGCATTATGAAGAAGCACTCACTGCAGCTGAGCTACACATTAAACATGTGAACCCTTCCTGATCAGCCTACTTTCATTTGAAAATGTATTTAAATTGGGAAACATGACATTCTGTCTTAAAATTTTGATTTTTTTTTTTGGCAAGTTTCTGAATAAAGACAAACATTTTTGCAGGAACTGACTATTTATCATACGTTTGATATTTTTATTATGACAAACAAAAGACATAACAAGCCTTAAAACAGAGCTAAACACATCTAACCACAACATACTGAAGGAGAATGATGGATGGGGGGGGGGGGTTGTTCTGAGTAGTGATAACACAACAGGAGCCACCCTCCCACAGTTGCTGTGGGAGGGTGTACAGCTTGAAGCGTACATTATTCATCTCTGGTGAAAAAAAGCCTCACTGGATGGAGGAGGAGGAGGAGAATCCTGCTGGCTCTGCATCCTCGGAGCCCACAACACCACAGCACTGGAGCAGTGGAACGACAGGAAGGAACAGAGAGCCATGGACACTCATTACTGGACATGAAAGCAGTGTTTTACCACCACGGTGTTGTGCGTGAGCAATGACAGGAACACACACACGCACACACACACACACACACACACACACACACACGTCAACGTAGGTTTGAAGTATCATCACACGCCTGCGTTGTTACATTTGCCTCCAGCACTGCTGAGGGAGACAGGGACAGGCTGTAATCATTTCCTGTTTCAACAATGCAGAACTGATAACAGAACTCTGTTCTGAAACACAGAGTGATAATGAGCTGAGTGAGAGTGTGTGAGGAGAGAGCACAGTGAGCCCCCCCCCCCCCCGGGTTCCTGAGGGGCCGACACGTGCCGAGTCTTAGTTATGTAATTTCAGAATTGTGCGGACGGATGAGGGGAGCAAGAAGCAGGCAGTGCTGAAGGAAACAACGATCGCCACCTATCAGCTAATGACACAAAGGGGCCGACCACGTCACAAAGACAGGCATGGCCTGCATCCGTGACTGTCCTCACGTTCAATCACATGACATCATCACACACCGCCCATCTGCCCAGACACACTTCATACGTTTGCCAGATCATAATGAACACAGGGGTCACCGAATCTCAGAGCCGGCCGCCAGAGAAGTTGCATAACAGCAGCGTTTCTGGGGCAAAATCCTGCCCCGGCTTTGAGCCCATGCAGGACGACGTGAGCTTGATCTGAAATCTCTGATCCCGACTAAGGAGGTCTAGTCTGGGGCTCCCTAATCAGATCAGCCAGGGGCTTATTGACTGGACATGCTGAATAATGCCGAGATGAGATGCAGGCAGTATGGCGACACACCTGCCCGTCTGATGTACAATGAGATGATGAGACACAAAGCTGCTTTAGTGGAGTGGGTCAGCAGGTAATCGGGGGATGGGGGTGATGCTGAGGCCAGCGCTGCAGAGAGACACGCCGTCGATGAGAGTCCATTTAAGTCGTTACTGAGAGAGCTGATAACACAGCGCATCACTTTATGCATCAGGGAAAGGCACTTCACATCGATTTCCTGCCTTTGCTTTGTTCATTTAAGGCCACAAGCATCCCTGCTCGTCTGTTTCGTGGTGAAAAATAGACAAAAAAGTCAATCACTGATCAAACAACTACAAAATTCAGGTTGTTTTCTGCATGTTTCCCCTCACACAACATAAATCATGCCTCCACACAGATGAGCAGTGCTTCACCACAACACAGCAGAATGAATAAACAGTGTTTGATAGATGCAAACTAGGAGGAGAGGAGTACTGCGATGTAAGATGTGACCCTGCGAGAAGGAAGATGAAACAGAAACAACATTCACTTAGACAGACAGACAGACAGGCAGGCAGACACGCAGGCAGACAGACACGCAGACCGACAGGCAGACACGCAGGCAGACAGACACGCAGACAGGCAGACAGACACGCAGGCAGACAGGCAGGCAGACACGCAGACCGACACGCAGGCAGACAGGCAGACAGACACGCAGACAGGCAGGCAGGCAGACACGCAGACAGACACGCAGGCAGACAGGCAGGCAGGCATACACACAGACAGACACGCAGGCAGACAGACACGCAGGCAGACAGGCAGGCAGACAGACACGCAGACAGACAGACACGCAGACAGACAGACACGCAGACAGACAGGCAGGCAGGCAGACACGCAGGCAGGCAGGCATACACGCAGACAGACACGCAGGCAGACACGCAGGCAGACAGACACGCAGGCAGACAGGCACGCAGACAGACAGGCAGGCAGACACGCAGACAGACACGCAGGCAGACAGGCAGGCAGACACGCAGACAGACAGGCAGGACTATTCTGGGAAACATCACTGACAAGATCAAAATAATTGGCAGAGGAAGAGAGCAGAAACGCAGATCCGGATTCGAGATGCAGAGACAGACAGAGATGGATTTACAGTTGTCACCGCGCGTGCACACGTGCATGAAATGTGTTTTTACAGTGAATGCAACCTCCATCCACCCCCTCCTGCATCTATGTATCCTAAAAGCCGAGGCAGAACACCAGTGGTTGTGTGTGGGGCATTGTTACACCCACCCACCCTAAGACAGGAGGAGTGGGGTCTCACCTTGCTCCAGGTCCCGCTGGTCGTACCACGGCTCCTCTTCCTCTGTGATAAACTCCTCCATCCTTCCTGCACGGAGCATCGAAGCTGATCAACAACTTCTTCTTCTTCGGCGATGTGATCTGTTAATTCACGGGCATGCTCGAGCGGAAGTGACAACAAACAGCAGCGGCGCAGCCTCCCCGAGTGTGTAACCCTTTGAGACGAACCCCCCCCCCCCCCCCGGCAGCGCACCTGCTTCTTGGACCGCGTATCAATGTGAACCGAAACCACGTGATCGGGCCGCTCACACCTGCACACCTGAAATGAACCGGTGTGCAGAGCAGCTGTTGGACAGCCACGGTGGTGGTTCTTCTGTTTGTGATGAGCAGCTCGGCCGCCCGATCTCCGCTCAGCGGCTCAATGATGCTGCTGCGTTCACGTGCTGTCGGAAATGCTGGATTTACTCTTTACCCTGCTGCAGCATTGCATTTAAACACCGACTCCATCGTCCCAGATTAGTGAGGCTAATTGACTTTAAATTTGAATCTGACATGTTTATTTAAAGTTGTATCATTATAACATCCAACTGTTTGTAAGCCCCACGTGAAACTATTTCCAATTATAAGATTATTATCTTAAAGAGAAGGCAGACATCCCTACGGCTAATATCTCCAAAACTAGGTAACTTACACCAAAACAAACATTCTAGACCGATAAACAGCACTACAGGTAAAAGGAAATATGCGTTTCTGGTTTTGGGGGGAACTGTCTCTTTAAATGGGGCACTACTGTCATGTTTCTACTATTTGCAACCCTTCCTTTTCATAGTCTAGATGTAGGGAGGCCGTAAATTACATGGGGCATTGAAGGCAGCACCACTGGAGGTGACGTCACCGTCTATTTGACAGCGTCCCCATCACGGACGTCTCCCCCCTTTGTCCCCCAGAGCTCCAGTTCAAGACATTTGTGTTGGTGAATTAACAGACAGTACGATTCTCACACTGCGGTTAGTCCTGTTCAGCGTAGATTATTTATTGTAAACATTTAGGAGCAAAGAGTACATAGACTGTTCAGACCTCTGTGTCCATCAGCTCCAGTAGTCTTTGTGTTTCCTCTGTGGAGACAGAGACTGTGTCCTCTCACAGGCACCATGACTAAGCAACATTTCCCTTATCGGAACTCATGTTACTGAAAAAAGAAACGTTCTGCAAAATGATCCCTTTGCCAAGAAACAAACCTGAAAATATAAATTAATGTAGTTTATCTTTAGTAAAAAAAAAACAAAACAGACAGTTTCACATCATACAGTATCTCATTGTTGTACACTTACTTTGTTCTTTGTTCTGCAGTCCAGCAGCCAAAGACATCACATGTAGCAGCAGTAAAAAATATCCATCAGGCTCCAATAGCACAGAATCGTCTGGTTAATGTCAGATAACTGTTCCTGTATGTTTCAGTCCCATTTACTTCAAACCATGTGTTCTTCACATTGCTGTCAACCATTTACACGACGTGTTTCTAGCCATGCTGCGAACTCTGTGGATGAACATATCAGCTGGTATGTCCTTTGGTTCATATTAAATGCTCCCCAGAGGATGAACCCTAGTGGTGATCCCCTGACTTTTCATCCAGCACCGTCGGGTCAACATTTTAATTCTGTTTATGACCAAATGACTAATCCCATTATCTTCAGCTGTACTTTGTGTTCAGTGCTAATTAAATTAGCAAATGTTCTGTTAGCGTTCAGTTTAGCGCCACAGAGCTGCTAGCATGGCTTTAGACTTCTTTATTCCAAGAGGCCTTTGGGTTCCTTTCAAATCAGCTTGCAGAGACTTGAAGCATGTTTTACTGAAGATGTAAGTGCATATTGACTTGAATTAAGGAGAGTGCAGCACAACAAAAGTGCCAGTCTGTCCTGAAACGAATAAACGACTAAAAAAAAAAAAAAGCTGTTCCCACAATTTTCAGTTAATAGCCGAAACATACAAACAAGACTCCTCCCATTCGCATGCACACAGATGTACCTCTGCTCTCTCAAGCTGAAACAGCCCACGTGTTATTGCTTAATTATTGACATAAGCTACTGCGGCAGCAACGAGCCTGAAAAAAAGCAGAACTCCAGCAGCAAATGAACCATGAAGCAGGTCGACAGGCATCTGTGGTGAAGCCTGAGTTCACTGGGACCAGAGACAAGCTGAGGCACTGACAAAACCGTACGTTCCCACTTCCCATCATTGCTGGTTCTCTGTGGTTTTACAGCTGTGCGGTCGTTTGAGGTGCTTCCAGTCGGCCTCGCTCTCGCAGCGCTCCACTCCGCTGAAGAACTTCTTGATGAGAACTTTGGCTTCTGCTTTAACTGAGACACAGAGAGCAGCATTAGAGAGGAGTACGTCGCAGCATGCAGCGGAGCACAAGCCTCACATCATTTACCCCCCCTGGTCACCTTGGCCTTTCCCCTGACTCCTCCCCTCTGCCAGCAGGTGAGACAAGTAGCGGGCGAAGGACTTAAACAACTCCTGCGGCGCACAAAAGAAAACAAGAGCTGAGTTTTCATCTCGCACGGCTTTTCTGCAAAACATGAAGTGATGTTCGTCTCTCTCACCTTGGTGGCAAACCTTCCCTTGGTGTAAAAGGGGTCCAGGTAGTGGACCACGATGTCAGCCGCTTCCTTCAGCGTCACAGGCTCGGGCGGCTCGCTGACGGGCAGCAGGGCCCTCTCCTGCACGTTGGGGTTGAAGGTTACTCTTCTGTCTGCGGGGCGGCTGCGCTTCGCCGGAGGAGACGACTCTATGTTCGCTTCCATATCATCTGTCAACTGAACACACACACACACACACACACACACACACACACACACACACACACA